CCCAAAACCCCAAAACCCCAAAACCCCAAAACCCCAAAACCCCAAAACCCCGTCAGACTAGAATATATGAGTGAGAAGTGAATATAAGAATAATATAGGAATTATATAACTATTATTGTCTAAATAAGAGTACAGTTATTTTATAAAAATGAAAAATTAACTATTCAAACTTACGTACTTAAACATTATTGCCCTATACTTGTTTAATTATTCAGCTAATGCAATCGCTATATCAGACTTGAACAAAGAGGCAACTGAGAATGTCTATAGTAAGTATCTATTAAGATAAGAGGAGCAAACATAGCCACAGTCTACGTAACTTGACATATTACAGGGAGCAGTATACTAACTGGCTAAAGACGTAATCTGGGATGATGCAGTTGATTGTTATCAATATGGGTCTGTACTCTATTATCACATTATAGATGGCATTAAATTGATTGGAACTTCTCCTCTAAAAACAGCCAAAGAATGGAGTTTAATTGCTCATAAAGGACCAATAGTTTTCAAAGAGTGCTGGGAAGTTTATAATGACACCCTCGATATTTACAATCTATTCACAAATGACTATGATATACTGAGCTTATCGATAGATTTTGGTCTTAACGTTCTGTTTAATATGGGTGATATTATATCGGAAGTAAAACAGTCTTCAGTTGCCCTGAGCTAGAACGACTATAAAACTTTCGGCCACATGATAGGCAAGATAGTTTCAGATATCTTTATCAAGAATCCTTTAGACGTTGCTTGGAATCTGAATAACTCTGACATATTCATGGCTATGCCACCCCCTGAAAATGTCCTTTCAACTTAAGTATAATAGATGGTCTCAGATTTCAATGGAAAGAGAGCTAGTTAAAGAGTAGATTAAAAATCTTAACGGTAATAAATAGCATTGAATAGTTTGACTTAAACCTTGAAGTAGGAAAAGTTGAAATTATAAGAAGAGAAGCATAGATTAGAGTAGGAAAAGCAATTTAAAGAAAATCTGTTAAGAGCTCCTGAAACAAATAAAAATTCTCAAAAGTCCATAGCTAAATAACTGCTTAATTTTGTATAGAAATTTTCACAAGCTTTCAATAGTGATATAAACTCCAAGAATTGACAATCTACTTAGTATATCTATATAAATTGAATGAATGAACCCTCATAAATATATATTTGAAGTTATATTCTACTTGCATTTTAAAAATGACTTAATTTTCCGATTATTGAGATTGTGGGGTTTTGGGGTTTTGGGGTTTTGGGGTTTTGGGG